TCCTCCTAAGCTGATCCAGGAAGAAGGAAGGGAGCATGGCAAAGATCTCCTTGAGAAGGTGACACAGCTCTCCAAGAATAAGTTAACAGGAGGGAAGGAAGGATGCCGAGTGTGCGTGAGGTATTCTGCGAAGTGTGAGCAGGATTATAAACCCCTTCCAGCTCCTCAACAAAGCTGTTTCTACCTACCACGTGGGCAAGACAGCTGTAAAGCAAGGCATATTAGAGGGGATTGTGGACAACTCGCGGCACAATTAGAGTGTGCAGTCGGTCTGAGCCTAAACAACCATGGGACAGCGCAGACAGTTGCCAAGGCCAACTTGGAGACAGCTATCTCCATCACTGGGGGTAATGAAGAAACCAAGAGGCTTCCTGGGAGCAGCGTTGTCTTCCAGGTAATGTGTGGGCATTTACAAAGAATTTACCCTATAAGTTATGGAGGCCTTTGTACAGGGACAGGTTGTGTAACCTCTGATGGGCGAACCAGCCAACATTTGTCTTCCCTGCACTGTACCCTACGGCTGTGGCATTGTCCCACCTTCTTGTTATTGTCTACCTTATTTCTTTCCCTCCTTTTTCCTACTTGGTGTCCTCATGGTGCCTTCAGTCAAGACCCCCCAAAGCCTACCCCCTAAACCATTCTTCCCAGCTTTTCCATTTGAATACCCAGACTTTACCCTTGTCTCTGAAGCCAATCTTTGGCACTATTAGTCTGACTTTTCTGGGTCTACCTAAGTCTTGGGGCCAGTCTGATAAAGTTAGCCTGCCGATGTGATGATGGAGGGTGATGGCTTGATGAGTCACTGCCCCCAGGAAAGACATTCCTGTTTTAACCAAGCCTCCAGGACAAGCCATCTCTCACCCCAGAGAGAGACACCGATATGTGGGGAATTCACAGTCTGCTATTCTCCTGCCATCCTGATCAAAATGAATAACCTGGGCTGTGCTCTGGCTGTGCATCCTCTTGTCCCGTCTATTGAGGTCCCTGCCTCTATCTCCTTTCTAGTCTGTAAACTCCGTGAAGGCTGCCCTCAGCATGAACCTGCCATAGCAGAGCTCCGGGAAAGTTGGCTTGAACTCACTCATCCAGCAGAGCTTTATTGAACTCCAACTGGGACCAGGATACTGCTAGTTCTGGCAGCCAGGAGGGGACCTGCTCTGAAGGAGCCAGTCCACTGTGTGCAGAAACACTCTGCTTCCTGCTTTCAGAGGGTTACAGTGGGTGAGTGAGAAGAGATGGTCCAGGCATAAATAAACCTACCAAAAAGCCAGACACGTATAAATAGCAGTGCTTCCCACATTGTAGCAACAGCTCAGCTGAGTGAAATATATGGACAGGTTCCAGGACCCTGGTACTGGGAGGAGGACAGTCTTACATTTGAATAGAAAGGCTTTTTTTGTCCCCCTCGAGCTTTCTATTTTATTATGAAGCATTTGGAGCAGTAAAGAGCCAGTATAGAAAATATCTTTATTCAGACCACCTAGATTCAGTGATTGTTAAACATGTTGGCCTATTTACTTCATCTCTTTAAAAAATAATAATAATAATAAGGAAATAAAGACTACGTGTGGAGTTGTAAGCCCTTATATTTCTCCCTGATTCTATTCCCCTCACTTTTTTCCAGAGATCACTATTCTTCTGAGGTTGCTGTGTTTCCCTCTGTTTATATTTTTTATTCTCTTACTCTAATTGTGTGGTCCAATAAATATGTATGACATTGGTTACATTTTTAAAGTTTACATAAATGCATTCATACTTTGGATGTTTTTTGCAAAGAGCTTCTTTAGTCAACATTCTAATGATGTAATGATATTTCTTTGTTGGGTAAATTTTAACTTACTTGTCCATACACTGATAAACATATGGCTTAATTCTGATTTCTTGTATGTTTCCTTATATATCGCATATGTCTCTTGATATCCTGGTATCTTATATGTCTTCTAAGTTTCTAGCACATAGGGCATAGGAATTTTAAATTAAAATGGGTGATGAATGATTTTTTTTTACAGATAGTTTTTCTGTAAAAGCAAAGTTGCACACATTCAAGTACCACACCAGAATATTCCCAATTACCTTCATTCCTTTTGAGTGACGAGGTCACCTCATTTAGCCACTCTCTGCCTATCTGGAATCTATCAACATCTTCACTAGGGCCTTGTGCCTATCAGCTTGAGATTGTGTATTGGGAAGAGTCCCAGGGATCTGTCTGCTAAGATATATGAGATTCTCAGGAAAGGACTAGTAGATGGCATCATGACTAGTCTCCCATATTAGGTGAGGGCACTACCTCAAAACGCTACCATTGCCCAAAACAATTCTTCAAAGCCACTCAATTTTTGCGATAATAGTCCATTGCATGGTCATTTGATATTTAAAATGAAAATGATCAAGCACTTTTTAGGGGTTAGGCATTGGTTCGGGTTCTTTAAATTCATTAAATCTGAATCTTTACTATAGCCTTCAGGCATCGGTATTATTTTTATCCTTCTTACTGATGAGAATATAGATGCTGGCTGAGGTATGTAACTTGCCCAAAATGGCACAGGCAAGAAACGGCAGAGGCAGGATTTCAAACCAAGTCTCATGGGCTCCAGAGCCCATGGTGTTGGCTGAAGATAGAGGACACAGATTTTCACCTTCAAAAAAATGCATAAAACCCATTCCTATCAAAAATGAGAACTTGAAGGGCACCTGAGTGGCTTAGTCGGTTAAGTGTCTGCCTTTGGCTCGGGTCATGATCCTGGGGTCCTGGGATCTCGTCCTGCATCAGGCTCCCTGCTCAGCAGGGAGTCTGCTTCTCCCTCTCCCACTCCCCCTGCTTGTGCTCTCTCTCTGTCAAATAAATGAATAAAATCTTTTTTAAAAAATGAGAGCTTGAATCGAACAAAAAGAAAACAAACCAACTTGAGGGATAACCTTCAAGACAATTGAAATGTACTCTTAAAAAATATCAATGTCATGAAAGACAAAAGCTGAGGACATGTTCCAGATAAAAGGAGGCTGAAGACAAAGGACAAAGAAATGTAAATGTGTGATACTGGATTAGAGGGGAAAGGATGCTCTAAAAATGTTACTGGTACTACTGGCAGAATTAAACACAGAATGTATTTTAGATAATAACATTAAATCAATATTGAATTTCCTGAATTTATCATAGCATTTATGATTAAGGAAGATAACCTTGTTCCTAGGAAAAGCATTTCTTTCACTTTTAGTAATACCGATTACTTCTAATATACCTGTGGATTACTTGTAATTCTTCTATGAATATTCGATTGTTATCTTTTGGCAATTTAAAAAGGAGGGCATGGTATGACTGGATTGATTTCTATTTGTTTTGTTTTTAATTGAATATAATTACATGCATATTGAGTGGATCACTGAGTCAAGTAAAGAATTAGAACAACCAGGCTGGAGGAGAAAGGAACTGACATTTGACAATGTGATTTTTAAGGATTTGGTGGGTTTCTTCAATGGGAGCACCCTGCACCTTACTCATTAACCATTCTCTATAAGGGCCATGACTTCCTTCTGCCTCATTAAATGCCAATTACCCTCTTAGTTTTTAAACATGGCATTTGCACCTGAACTCAAACTGTCAAGTTGTATTAAAAATGCATTAGCTTGCTTTTAATTTAAGACCTACAGCCTTCAACTAATTTAGGGGGAAAAGGGAGAAAACCCCATTATAAAAATTTAAATTAAATTGCTCTAGTAGGGGAGGGCAAATAAGGAGGGCCTCTAGTCCCTATAATCTTTTGAGACTTGATCTGAGGAGTACTTATCCATGAGGCTCTCACCAGAGGTTCACATCTGGCAAAGGGCCCTCCTTGATAGTCTGCTAGTACTTCTTTGGCACTCTCGTACAGCACTTTATTTTGTCAGGGGCACCCCATGAACTGTATGTGTCTCAAGGAAAGATACTAAGTCAAAGATAATTCCTTTTGACCTCCAGTGTCTGGCATACAAAAAGACATGTATAAATATGTAATGCATTAATCTAAATTTCATTTTTAAAGAAAATGCATATCCGTGTGTGTCTGTCTCTGTGCCTATATCTAGAAGTCAGGGTTTGGTGACTCCAGGGGTCATCCTGCTTAACCCTTTTTAATTTAAATTAAATTTTATTTTATTTGTTTATTTTCCGAAGTTTTATTTAAATTCAAGTTAGTTAGCATATAGTCTAATAGTAGTTTCAGGACTAGAGTTTAATGATTCGTCTTTTATCCCAGTACTCATCATAACAAGTGCTCTCTTTAAAACCCATCCCCATCCCCACCTAGCCCACCAGAACCTCTCCTTCCAGCAACGCTCAGTTTGTCCCCTATTAAGAGTCTGTTATGGTTTGCTTAACCCTTTATTTTAGATAAAATTCTAATAAGCTCATATAGTTTCTCACCTACAGTAGGAACAAAAAACTGAAACAAAAAAAAAAAAAAGAAGAAGAAGAAGGAATGTAGTCTGCTTGTAGAAGAGAACATTCATGGCAGCAGTAAGTGAAAGGCCAACAGAGATGAGGGCAAGAAAATTAGGAAAAGTAGGAGTCTGGAGATATTTCCTGCAGGTGATATCAATAAGGACAATGCCAATTCACCAAAATATGATTCGAGTACTCCAGAGTACTCCATATACTCTGGTTTAGCAGTCAGAGAAATACCTGTTTGTAAAAGTTAAAAGTGTTCTAGAACATTTAAATTGTTTCTTTTTTTAAAATTTTGACATGTCATCCCTGTCCAAAGTTTAATAGATGGGGAACGGCTATATGTGTTTTTTATTAATTGTTGTTTTTCCTGGACACTCATATGGTCCCTGCTTTTAATTTTAAAGCAGATGAATTAGAACATTTTGTATTTCTCCCTTCCAAAAAGATCCCCCAAATGAATTACTCTTGTGGCCCTTGACCAAGTTTTGTCAGAAATGAAACATGACTTCCCTCAGGCACCCTTGCAACCTCCTGTGAAGTGACAAGAGAGACAGGCGTTCTCTTCCCCCTTCTCCCACACAGGCCCACTTCGTAGACACTGCCCCAGCTTGCCTGGCCAAGTTGGCTCGGAAAACAGGGCCTCCTAGTCCTCCGTCCTCCTCCTCCACAACCAGCTTCCAGCGTCCCGACTTCCTGAAGGGTAACCCCCTGGGTACAAGGGGCCTCTGTCAGTCTCCACTCCCACCGGAAATAAACTCCAGGGGTCACTGCAGTGATGGACTCCACAAAGCATCAGCGCAGAGTCACAGAGCAGATCAGCCAGTGTCACAGAGGGCCACCTGGGAGCCTCGGCCTGAATGTCCAGCGCGGCTCTCCAGGAAGTCCTTGGCAAGGCCTGTCTTTTCAGAGCTCCATGCAGCCGGCCACCCAGCTCCTCTTCCTTGCACCAGGGGCCTTTGCGGAACTCCTGGCCTTTGGTGGCCAAGGCTTCCGCCTTTCAAAGACCAGACGCTGCTGTCCGTAACCCAGCACTCCTGCTAGCTAGTTCAGCCATTCCCCCTCCGCTTCCAGAGCCCCAGAAACTGGAGGTTCACAGGCTCCTTGGGTTCCACCCAGTTTCTCAGGGCTCGGGCCCATTCTGAGGAATCCAGCCTCTTTGCTTGGCTAGAGCTCTGCACACTGAGAACCGCTGGACCGGAGCTCATGTCTTGGGATCAGGCTGTGTCAGTGAAGACACGAACAGGAAAGGGTCACATGTCCCCAGAGTCCAGAGAACAGGAAGGTCACATGTCCCCAAAGTCCAAGCAGCCCTCTAGGATTAGAAACACAGTGGTGGTCACTAACTTTTTCAGATATTTTTGAGAACTAAGAGCTGTGTGACTAGATACTTACATTCTAACCCTTGCCCCCTTTAATAACTACATTTTAAAATAAACAGTGGAAACCACCTAAACACATGGCAAGGCTCTATACATTTTTAGAGAATTTGGGCATTTAATATAATTGTTTATATAGCTGAATTCAATGACTAAAGAGGCTCAGAGATAAGATCTTTGGAAAATATGTTCACCAGCCATCTAGCATCTGCTAACTAGAAAAGAGTCTATTAAAAAAAAAAAAAAGACAAAATGACAGATACAAGATATGAGGAGAGGGAAGAAATGGGCAGAAATGGGATATGATGTTTGATGACACTATTATTTGAATTGGCAAAAAATGCCCCAGTGCTTACAAATTGATTCCTTACCTACACTTTATTCCTGTCCAGTGCTGCTATATAGGGCCATCTGTAAAGTGCAGTCCATCACTAGGCAAGCACAGTATCAGTGTTGTGCAGGCAGGCCACAGTGAGACCTAATACACTGGCCAATCATGGGAATACTGGGTCATCATGATCAGCCACCAAGAGTTCTCTATATATGATGACACCCAAGCCCACCTGAAAAAGAAAAAAAAATGGTGAAGGAGACATTTGCTATCTGGACCAGGACACTGGGATTAACATTCCAGATAAACAGAAGAGACCAAGGCTGCCCCAATCCCCAGGGGTAGAGAGTTAACCAGGAGAACATGGATTTACCAGGAGAGGCCTCAGTCTGAGATGCTCCTAGATTGTCTTAGAGGACTGCTTTTGAGTGTGACATCACAGGGCCACTAGAAAGAAGAAAAGCATAGGTTGCTGGAGGACATCATTTTCACCATGTGGCAAAAGCTTGGCTGCAATAGGAGGGAATGAAGCCAATGGAAACCACAATGAGAGACTATCTTGGGATGAGCCTCCTGATGATCTTCTTGGAGGCCCTGAAACTACTTGAGGTTACTAGTTCTATTTCCAGACTTCCCAGTTATGTAACCCTTTTTGGCTAAGCTGAGTTGAGTTGGTTTTCTGTCATATACAACCAGAATGAACTGACCAACTCAGTAGTTGTTTGGCATTATGTATTTCCTCATACTTATGGGAGTAGAACCACAGAAAGGAGAGCTTATAACTCAAACATGCTAGAGAACAGTACTCTAGAACATAGAGAAACAGAATAAAAGGATTGTGGGAGTAGGGGCCATTATTTCCATAGTATAATTGGTACTGTAATTAATAATCTAGCTAATTACATCTATTACACCTTTCTTCTGAATGTCTTTATGTACTAAATCACTTAATCCTCCCCAAAACCCACTGAGATAGGTGCTAGTATTATTATCCCCATTTTGCAGGCAAGGAAAATCGAGGCATAGAGACTGAGTAACTTGCCTGATGTTACCCAGCTAGGAAATAGAAGACCTGTGGTCCAGATTCCAGGTAGTCTGGTTCCCCAGGCTTAACCACTACGCACAGGGTCACTCTTTAAACAGAAAAGAATTTGTTGGCATGACTAGTGGGTTAGAAGTCCTGCTTGTAAAAACTATTATAAATGTCATACTTTCTTTGATCTATTGCATTAGTCTCTTCATGACTGATTCCCTTGGAGAAGCTAGCCACATAAGAAAATGAAAGGCCGAAAAGCAAAAGCATTCCCTTAAAAAATTTTAGCAACAGAGCTTGTGAATATTGTGAAAAGAGGAAACACAAACAGAACCTACGCTTGGTCTGTATTGCGGCCATTAATAGGAAGAGAAATATGAGGGAGGAAAAAGCATGGTAGCATTAGAAGGAAAAGGGACCAGGACAGATTAAAACAAGTATAAAGAGATGGAGACAGCAAGGCAGAGAAGGCAGATATCAAATGACGTAAAAGAAAGGAATATACACTTGCACATGAGATGCACTGACGCTAAGAGAAAGAGCATGCACCGTAAGAAAATAAAATACTACCCACAGAAATCGAGCTACATTGTCAGCTCCCTGAGGACAAGGACTGAGTCTGATTTGTTGGCTACTAGCTTCCCCAGAGCCAAGCACAGGGCCTGACAGGGAGTAGACTCGAGAAATAGCTGTTGTCCAAATAAATGAAAAAGGCAGATAAACACAGAAAAGGAAGGAAGTCTGTAGAGTTTGGAAGCAGGTGGATCTGGGTTCAGATCTTGGCTTTCTAGCTTCAGATTTGTGTGATCTGGAGTAAGGTGCTCACTACTTTCAATATTTTTGGATCTCTCAGTTCTTCGTATGTAAAAGAAAGACTAGGTTCTGGATATTTAGCTACTTTTCTCTTCAAACCAGCTCTCCGTACTCTGTTCCGTGACGCCGGGGCTGCGACCGCATGGCAGCTCTGCTGGCCGGCTGAGGAGGAGGAAGGGGCTTCTTCCTGAGAGGCTCATTCTCCTCAAAGCTTCTTCACCGAGCCACAGGCAGTTTTTTTCCTATCATAGCCACGAAACTCAGTTTGCAGTTTTTCCAGCACTCATGAGCCCCCCTTCAGACACCTCAGCGGCAACAGAGGCCTGACATTCAGGTCTGAAGTTTGAGGATTCCAGCCTCTTCTCTCTGTTGCCCCAGTCGTGGGGTGGTGCCTGCTTCCTCCTTGATACCCGAGAGTCCTCTTTTTACCCTTTTAGTTCCTAATTATCAGCTTTATACCCAGTCAACAAGTCTTTCAATTCCATCTTCTGTATTTTATTTATTGATTTACTTATTTTTAGACACACAGAGAGAGGGGAGGGAAGGGCAGGAAAGAGAGTAAAAGAGGATCCCAAGCAGGCTCCATGCTTGGCGCAGAGCCAGATGCTGGGCTCCATCCCTCGACCCTGAGATCATGACCTGAACAGAAATCAAGAGTCAGACACTTAACCACCTGAGCCACCCAGGTATCCCACCATTTTCTCTGTTTAAATAACTAGTTTGGTTTCTTTCTCTGCCTAGACCCTGACTGAAACAGGATCATAACGCCTATTTCACGGAATTGTGAGGCTAGATATCTAATGTGCTCCGAATATTGCCTGACGGTGGTAGGAACACCATAACTGTGAGCTGTATAATGTAGAGAGACACAGCAGAACATTTGACCAGTAATGCTGGAGAGGATACAAATGGGCTTTCGTGGAGAACATTGACTTTATGACCTTTGAAGACTTTGACGGCTATGCTCTGCCTTTTCCAGGCACAGGTACAGAGAATGTATCCAAGTCAGAGGCCATATGCCATTGAGTCTAAGACACCACTGATTGTCACACGCACCGTTAATTCTGTGTATTACTAAGAAAATTAATCACTACCGATTAAACTATGGTATATTATAGATTGTGAGGCTCATTCTGATATTAGAAATATTAAAGTGTGAAGAAAGATATGCCTTTGGGACACATGAGTGGCTCAGTTGGTTAAGCCGCTCTCTTCTGCTCAGGTCATGATCCCAGGGTCCTGGGATTGAGTCCCACATCAGGCTCCTTGCTTGGTGGGGAGCCTGCTTCTCTCTCTGCCTCTGTCTGCTTGTGCTCACTCTCTCTCTCTCTCTCTCTGACAAATAAATAAACTCTTTAAAAAAAAAGAAATATATGCCTTTGAATTGATGAAATATAGCATTTACATTGAACCATGGTGAATTCCTCTATAGCACCAACACTAAAAATACACACATAAACACACACACTTAGGAAAAGTGAAGATGAAGAAAAACATTTCCTGGCCCAGTATAGATCCTTATTCAAGGGTCCCTGAAAAAGCCAACAATTGGAAACCAGCTCCAAAGAAATAAATCTTTGATTTGGTGTGGCCTGTCCATTTTACCCAAGGGCTCACCTCCCTCACCTGGCAAAGCCTTCCAGAGTATTCTGAGCAAAATAAGCAAGCACACAAACCACAGGCAAATCAGAAGTTTGCTTTCCATTCAGACTGAGAAGGAATGGGAACCTCAAGTGGAAAGTGCCCTTGCTTATTAGCATGACCGGTGGTCTGAACTAAAATTATCCTGCGTTCAGAACACTCTGTGGGCTTTTATGCATCAAGCTTTTTAAAGCTTCAGTCCAAGTATGTTTTGGAATATGGTTATAATCAGAAAAACAAGGAATGCAAAAATAACTCTTTGTGAGTCAATGTATTTCCTGCCCCAAATAAGTTCTTACTATAGCTGGCCCTACATGGCCCTGATCACATGGGGGAAACAGCCTGGGCCTGACGCCACATCACACACCCTCCAGACTGCCTGTCTCTCTATCAAGTCGGTGACCACAAGAAAGTGATGAATCGATGGGCAGAGGGAGAGAGTGAGGGGCAGGAGCAAGAGAGAAAGGTGAGTGTGAGATGGCTTGGCACTTCAGATGGATTTCATTGGCCAGGGTTGCCTTTCTTGAATTTTCACCCACTGGTCAAATAGGGGGAAACTGCAGCCTGTCTTTTCCCACCCTCCATCCTCTGACTTGATCTGAAAGTGGAAGACTGCCAGAGAGCCTCAAGCCTCTTCTAGCTCTGTGCACTTGTTGGCAAACACCCGTTTAATAACCCTTGGCGAGCTTCTGTCTTAACTCCCACACCTGTGCCTGGGCTCTGTGAAGAGGACAGTTCAGTCCCAACATGTAAGAACATTGTAAAGGGGAAGATATGGGCTGCCTAATGAATGGGTTTCATGGGACTGTGGAAGTGCTTTCTTTATGGAGGTTAGTCTCAGAAACCCTAAACAGGTTGCTGGAAAGAACACAGAGACTAAGCGTACAGAGGGAGTCAGATTAATCAGGTGTTGTATCATGTGCCCTGTTTATTGTACACCCTAAATAACAAGCATTGTGGGAGGCGCTAGGGATACAAAGACAAATAAGAGAGTTCTGGCCTCTAGAAGTTCACATCTAATCAGTGTGAAAACAATCAACCCAATACTTCCCAAAAGTAAAAGCTGAGTTGAAGGGTCAGGGTCCACAAAAATAACAGAGGAGGAAGTACATTAAGAGGCGTTTGCCCCAGGACCTTTGCACTTGCTATTCTCCTTTGGCTGGAGCTCTCTCCTGAGATATCCCTGTGGCTCTGTTCTTCAGGCATGCTCAGAAAAAGCCAGCATCAGGGAGAGGAAGGTAAGATAGATGGATCTATAGGGTTTGTATCATCCCTGAGATCTTCCAATCAAACCATATGTACCGATTTATCATATTACTTGCCAACTTTACCCATAGCACTTTGTTCACATGCGTGTCAGCTTTTCTCTGCACCAGATCTCTCATAGATGATCTGTATTTCTGAATCACATGTATTCTGGGATAAGCC